AAAAGAAAAGAAAAAAAAAAAATCTCCTTGCTTATAATACTTTCATCCTTAATTAAGATAAATAAAACCTCAGTCCTGCTACAACCAGAGCATTAAATCTTTTGCAGGACAGGCAAGACAAATAAGTATCTTAACATTTTTAAGAAGTCTTTTTACTTTTGGTGGAATCGAAGGTACCATTGGAAAGAAACTTTCCAGGTCTTAAAAAATATTTATCCGGCTGACACGCAATTAGCATGGGGTCTCATGGCCTGCGTTTTATAGTTGTCAGCTAATTTTGGAAACTGGCAAGCTGCACAGAAATAGATGGTGTGCCCTTGCTTCAACACTCCCTCAAAAAAGGACTGTTTGCATAGTTCACGAAGGGGAGAGAGAGGCGCTGAGGAGGAAGAGCACTGTTTCAGATGGCCTGTCAGAGCTGGCATTGCCCTGTGTACTGGCGGATGGTCTACACCAGCAGCCCCCAACCTTTGTGGCACCAGGGACCGGTGCTCCTACGAGAACCTAATGCCTGATGATCTGAGGTGGAGCTGAGGCGGTGATGCTGGTGCTGGGGAGCGGCTGCACATACAGATGAAGCTTCACTGGCTCGCCCCACCGCTCACCTCCTGCTGTGCGGCCCGGTTCCTCACAGGCCACAGGACAAGTACTGGTCCACGGCCCGGGGGTTGGGGACCCCTGGTGTACACATTTAAAAATTAAAGTGTTTGTAAAGGAATGCTGGATAATCTACAAAACCAGTAATTCACACAGGACACGTGTCTGCTTTTTGAAAAGTTTGAAAAGGTATTTGTCTGTTCTGTTTTTTAACTTCAGTAAAGTTGAATTTATAGCATCACTTCAGATTTGCAAAAAGCTTTCCTGTTTGTTCCTCCCGATGGTTGATCCAGCCACTCTGATGAAAGGGCAGTATTAGTATTACATTCTGGGACTTGGTGACCCCACGAGGTGAAGGAATTGCCCGAGGACATGCAGCCTGTCAGAAGCACAGGCCAGTCCTTCATCCTCCGTAATTTCTGTCTGCTTCTTAGCCCGGAGGACAGCTCTGTTTCTTGGAATATCTGATTTCACTTTGTCATTTTTTTCATCATTTATTTCATTCAATTTTTAGCATTCTGTTCTGTTCTTGAAATCAGATTATCTAGGCAATGATAACTAAGGGAAGGAGATACTGCAGTTAAACTCCAAATCCTGCTATAACTACAACAGGCACTTTTTAAAAAATGGATTTAAAGATTGGAATAACCTGCAAGTAGAAAATGTTTTGTGGTTCTCTTCCATTCTTATTTTCTGAGAGTGTGGTGTGTGCCAAGCACTGAGTATTTAAATTTTGAGTAAGGTGTGGTCTTTGACTTAGAGGAGCTTTCAGTAGCGGGAAAATAAAAAATATCCACCACTTCATACCATATATGATATCCTTTCCTGGAGTGTAAACCCTTGGAAAGAAGGGTCAGGATCTAATTCACCTTCGAAGCACCAAGCGTGGTTTGAGTTGGATGTATTCTGAGGGCCCAGGGAATATGTTGGCTGAATAAATACTAGTGATGAAGACCATTCGAAAGCTGTGTTAATAATGGATATTGCAACCTATAAGAGTTCATTGAGAAAAGCATGGTCTTTATGGCTCCTTTTTTTTCTTTTAGTGGCCTCTATGTTTAGAGCAGTTTTAGGTTCACAACAAAATTAAGGGGACGTTACAGAGGTTTCCCACACAGGCACCCCACCGTCAGCGTCCCCCACCAGCACCGACCCGTCATTAGGACTGATGAACCTACCGTGACCCACCATTTTCACCCGAAGTTCATAGTTTACGTTAGGCTCACTCTTGGTGTGCATTCTGCGCTCCTGGGCAAACGCGTAATGACACGCATCCACCGTTACGTCGACATGCACAGTTTCACTGCCCTAACAGTTTTCCGCGTGGCACCTTATGTAAGTCTTCTCAGTTGGTGATGAAGGGGCCTTATCTAGGTGAAGTATCCCATTTTCTGCTAAATTTATTTTCTCAAGGGTGTTTTTTTTGTTGTTGTTATTTACAAAAGGTGTAAATTCATGAAACATGAATAATTCAGATTATTTGTTAGCAATAGTAAAGAGGTAAAAATGAACAAGTCATCATTTTAAAAGCTCTAGTGTTTTACTGATCTCGAAAATGGCCGTTGGTTGGTGAGTCCTAGCTACACTGGTACAAGCAGATACAGTTCTTTCTTTGTATTTTTTTTAAAATCTCGGCTACATGCTCCAATGGAATCATCAGGTTTTTAGGTGGCATCTTATCACTTAAACTGTGTTCAGCCATTCACTTATAGTAACCAAAAGTTACTTTTCCCATGAAGTAATGTTTATAATTCTAATGTAAATTTTTGAATACATGGTTATGCGAAACATAATTTTCTCCTAATAGTACTTACTTTGTGGAGAACTTAACTTTTTCCCCAACATTTGTCTTTTGCTGTAAAGGTCAGGCCAATACCTTTTCTTTGTGAGTGTGGATCTACTGGATGAGTTGGGCATTGTCTTTCATGTATAAATCACACCCATAATTCACCATCGAGGAATTTCTCGTCGTTAAGAAGAACAAAAACTCAGAATCGCTCGTGAATATTTTGTCTTTCTCCTTCTAATATTTATAGTTGTCTCACCCCTAGGCCTAGTTCAACACCAGTTTTTCTTAAGCTACTCGTTTAATCTTTCCAGAGAATCCAACTTATTTTCAAAGAAATAAGAACTTTTTCATACTTATAGTTCATCGATTTTACATCATGTTTAATTAGATTTAAAAATGAGAATGAGCACCACTAACATAAGTGAGTTGGGGGACAGACGCAGCGTACTCTTGGTAGGCACGCAAACTTAGGGGGCAGGAGCCCAAGGGAGCCAAACGTTCTCGGAAGGGCTCGTTCACTGGGCTTTTTCCGTGGGAATGGAGCATGTTGGTTAATCCAGGAAAGCTTTGAAACAATTCAGTTAGGGACCTTCAGTTTTCTTGCTCAATTGCAGTGCTTCTCCACTGAGAGCAGTTTTGCCCCTTGGGGACATTTGGCAATGTGTGGAGACACTTCGATTGTCACAAACGGGAAGGGGCGAGTAGAGGGTACTACTGGCGTCTAGTGGGTGAAGGCTAAGGACGCTGCTGAGCATCCTACAGTGCACTGGACATTCCTGCAGCAAAGGAAGACCCGGCCCGAAATGTCAGTATAGTGCGAGACTGGAACATGCTGCTCTACTGGGATTTAAGTGGATTTATTATAACATACGTCCAGCATAGTTTAAGACACTACCAGGGGGACTCATAATATGAAGATTAAAAAGAAGGAAAGAAGAAAGGCAGCTGTACCTCATCCCCTCGTTGCCGCCATTACTGTGTTCAAGTTCTAAACAGACATCTGACCCTCGAGGGCAGCAGCAGGTCAGAGAAAGGCGTTTGTTCATTCATTCCTTACGAATTGAACAAATGTTTCTTGAGTATTCACATAAGTCAGTCTCAAGTGACAAAATGAAAAATAATAACATTTAAAAGATATTTCCGTTGTAATAAATGTCATAAAGAGAGACTAAAGAGGGAGTTACTTCTTAGCTGGGGTATCAACAATTCCACGTTCTGTTTGGAAAGAAATTTCTTATGCAGGCACTGAATTCTTAGACGAGACGAAAACTTGTGAAGCATTCAACAGTGTAGTGGACAAAGCTTTCAACTGTGGTTTCTGCTGAAGGAATGGAAACTGTCTCAAAAGCCAGTTTCTATAGCAATAAAAGCTGAAGGTTGAATATCACATGGTTATTTAGGAAAGA